GGTCGCGCTTTCGGCTTCGGTTGCTGAGCACTTTATTCGGAATTGTGCGTGAGATTGCGTTAGCATTGCAAGGTATTTTAAGCCAATCGTGCTGTTTATTACAGTCGGTCATCATGATCTCTCCATTTACGGCAATTTCACTAAGTTTGTGACGATACTTCCATGGATGTAGCCTTTGCAGGTTCTAAAAATGTGGTTTATGGGGCAGAGTTATTGCTAGAAATAGCTCTACGTTTATTTTGTGCTTTGAAACGCTGGATGAAATGAGTACCTTAAATAGATTATCTACTCTTGCGAACATTTGAATAAGTGTGAAAAAATCTCAAAGGAAAAATTAGATATGGTCATTATCAACTACGCCCCTTGTACTCGTTTTAGCACCGAGTTATTAATGATTTTTCAGGAAGAGACAGGAGGAAGAAAGACAGTGGAGAAGGCAAAGAAGGAGGAGGAGGGGGAGGAGGAAGAAGCACCAAAGTCGAGTTCTCTTCCATCTCCAGACGTCATGCACTCACAGATACCATCGAGTGGAACTCCCACGCGGTTGCCAATCCACCCCACCCTCATTCCAGCCACAATGCAGGTAGGCTCGAATGGCGAACGCCATCTCATTCTGCACTACCCCGATGGCCATTCCGTTGCTACTACGACCCTTCAAAATCAGTCGGGTCAGTTCCACCTGGTCCCAATGCTTAACCAACCCCAGGCTCAGCCTTCCCAGACTTCCCTTCGTATCATCCAGACAGCTCCTGAATTCTCCCACACCAATCGACAACCTCTTGGCATGCACTTAGAAACGCATACCCATCTTGTGAAAAAAAAGTCAGGTCAGAAGGTGGAACTGGTCTGCACTTGCCCACCTGAATTGCACCACGGTGAGCCCCTTAAATGTGTTTCACCTATCTTCCAATTCGGCAATGGTCAGCTCATGTGCAGTTGCGAAGTCTCACTTCCTTTCCTTTAAAATTTGGTTTATTCATTTGTAATGTACTTCGACCAACATTATAAAATTGCAGTGTTTAAGAACCTTCGTAACGATTTGTTTAAACATTAACGGATTTTGAGCGATAGCTGTAGGATGAAAACATTGCACAAAAGGCATGCGAATCGACCATCTGCCTCAGGATCGGAATGCCAATTCTGATAAGTGGTG